AGCACCCCAGATAACAACCTCGGGAAACAGTAAACAGCCCCTACTAGCCATGGGTTCTCGGGTCATGATGTCGAAACGTCTGCCGCTGCGAATCCAGCGCATCAACCAACTGTGAGAGTGGACACGCCGCTAGGCCTTAAAACCTATCAGACAGCACACACTGATCTGAGAGAGCCGAACCCGCAAATACCCAAACCACTCATCACACTATCGACTTAAAAAGTCCACTCACATCACCAACAACGCATGTTTGATAGCCTTTCATAGATGGACAAAAAATAAAGTCTAATCCGATTAAGACAATGGCATGTGTACACAGCGAATCAAGGATATTAAGGAAGGCATGTAGGAACTGAGTGGAGAACATTCAAGGAGGAAACCTGATAACGGGTAAGTATATACGGGTACCAGTGCTAGAAAGTGGAATTAGCAGTTGACCACTTATTGAAGCAGAATGACCGCAACATGGTAAGAAATATGCACAATGTACCAAACGTTTTGTTCAGAGAACAAGTCTGGATAAGGCATGCATAAAGACACATGCACACCAAATGAGGCATCCTTAGAAGAGTAATGTGCTCATTGATCCGCCCATTTCGTTTTGTTCCCGAACAAAAACTTCGTAATATTGGTAAATGGTAGTAACCGCCATCAGAATACCAGTTCCGCTACCAATCGCGCCTATAATGAAAACGCAATCATGCTATGAACAAAGGCATGTAAAAAAGGCTTACCAAGAAAATCGGCGCAGACAGAGAGAGCTCCAATCCAAAGACCTCCAAGAGCGGCAGCAGTGGGAATATGTCGATTAAGTTCGTGAACCATGGATTCTTCGCGGTGGCCAGGGATGACGGTCTGCTGTTCCTTCAATTGCTTAGCAACGTCTTTGGCGCTAGAGTTGGACACATCAATCCAAATCTTGCTGAAGAAGGCACAACTTCCAAGCATGAATGCTATGTAAATGATGCCGTGGATGGGATCCATGAGCATTTGCGAAAACGAGTCCGGCGGAGTCATGTAATAACATAAACCACCAATAGGAGCCGAACGCGTTCCACCCTCACCGTCGGACCAAATACCAAGAAGATTTATCAAAAAATTTCCACGAAATTTACTTGATAACATCTGAAAGTAGTCCCACCACTTATAACATGTCCTAATCTTACCTGAGATATGACGTAGAGATTGGACACAAGAGCACTTTGTAACATAATAGGCGCATTGCTTGTGTAAAACAGCTTGATGGGATAAGAAGTCGTTTGACCGCGGTAACGAATAGACTTTACGGCTATTTCAACGCGAAAACTCTAGCATGTGTGAAAAGCAACTAAAAAATTTACTTGAAAGTAAATAACCACAGCAAACACCAAAACGGTGGCCATGAGATTCATTAAATTGGGCAGGTTTTGCCGGTAAAAGGCTTCTCTCAAAGCCCGAACTTTATCGGTTCTAGTTGCCAACAGCTGGAAGAGAGCAATGACGGCTCCCTCAAATTCAGTACCTATGGGCAAAATGGACAGCTGCACAGCGAAACTAACCTCTGCCAGTATTTATAGTGATGGGACTGAAGGCCTTCCAAATAATGGTCTCACATATATTTGTAGCTATGAAAAGCGAAATACCCGAACCAAGTCCATAACCCTTCTGCAGTAGTTCGTCTAACATTAAAACAAGAAGACCCGCAAAAGTTAACTAAAGTGATTAAGGGTGAATCATAAACATACTTGCAAGATAATCAGAAGACAGATACCAGCACCCAACTCGCTGGGAGGACCGTAGATGCCAGACATCACATACACTGACGCTTGACCAACGGTAATAACCATACCAAATACTAAACACGCTAATTAGCGTAACAAGGTCAAACATTTTTGGGCTCCATTAAAAAGGGCTCGGTCTTTGGGAGCATCGCCGACCTGAAGGGCCTGGATTCCAGCCAAAACTTGCATAATCAGACCAGATGTAATAATCGGCGAAATGCCTAGCTCCATAAGAGTCCCTTTATTCGAGGCAGATATAACCCGAAGCCAGTAAAGGGGATCAGCAGATTCAGACGACATTATTCCAAAAAGCGGTATTTGACAGCAAAAGAGGAATATCATGAGAGTTATACCCGTCCATAGCACACGCTCTCTAAACTGAATCTTACGCTCCGGTCGAGCAATCTCAGGTAATATTGCGCAGAACGGCTTCACAATGTCTAAGAAACGAACTACAGAACGAATTCTGATTAAAATAACGAAAGACCTCACCACCCATTATATGACACTCCAACGCAGGAATGCTAGCACGTATGCGTGGTGCCTTAACAGCTAAACTGATTAATTAAAACAAGCAAAAAAGATGATGCCCGTATCATATATTTTGCATTCCTTATGGCACTTAAAACCACCTGCAATTTTTAAAAAAATTAATTTTTTTCGTACGTTGCATTTAAATTATGCTTTGATCTCAAAGCATTATTTATTACAAAATTCAAAATTTCGCAGTTTTATATCTTGATCAGCTAAACAAATTTGTGTGCGCAATCACAAAACGTTCAGTGGTCCGTTAAATATTGTCTTGCAGCGACCCGAGAGCTCCCGACAGGTATAAGAAATTAGTAAATGCAGCCACATGTATTCTAAGGCGACAGGAAAAATGGATCGCAGCTCACATATACAATGGCTAGACGTGTATTTACCGCCTGTCTATCCCCTCGTCCCTGGTTCTTAGACTTTAAGAGGAAGTTGGTTGCAGACGATTTATTAGGCATCGCTGTTGGGAAGGATGGGGAATAGGATACACATGAGGTGAGTAAGAGATATCAATCGGAAGGAGGCTCCTTGCCGACTTCACGCACGTGACCCACACTTCCAATTGGTCCCCGCCTCTCACCTATAAATATCCACTTAAACAAGCTAGGATATATTACACAGCCCCCTTCTCTTTCAAGCACTGTCCCCGGTGCTGCCCAGTGGGATCCAATCGGACGGAACCTCTTTTTCTGGTACCGCATAGACTTCGTCTTCGTAACCTACTGAGGGTGGACCCGTATATGGCCTAATCTTGTTATGGTGTACTGTTTGAGGCCGAGCAGCTATCTTGGGTTCCGAACGAGATAATTCGTGGGCAGCAGGGCTTTGATTATCCGGTAGGGTTCCTTGCTCCAAGGGTGGTAGAATT